TACACAGACACATGATCAGTTGGTAGGAACTAAGAGATCTGAAGAGAGAGAGAGAGAGAGAGAGAGAGAGATGGCAGGGCAGGGAGGTTTCCTCATTACTACAACCAAAACCCATGAGTGGAGGGAGATGGCCCTTACAGCTACAGTAGAAACTCTTCTTACCAGGTAAATAATTTCTTGATGTAGCTCGCATACACTCATACACACATGTATATTCATATATATATATATATACACACACACACACACACATGTATATTCATATATACATACACACACACACACACACACACACAAGAATGCTTAGTTTATCTTTCCATGCCATTATGAAGACAGAATTTTCTTTCGATTTTGGGAAGGTGCGAACTTATTAAAATAAAGACTTCTAATTACTTTGGACTCTCTCATTTTGAAGCCTAATTAGTCTTCCCGAGCTAATTTAAAACTAAAATTTCTCATAGTATCTCTTGGAAATTTTTTACGATTAAAATTATTTATATTTGATTAAAATATAATTTATAATTTCGTCCACTATTTTTATAAATAATAACGTATTTTTTACTAAATATTTACATATATATTTATATTTTTAATGAATGTTCACGTGACAAATTTAGTTATGTTTATCGTGTTCTCACATCGTTTCTCCTTTTCTAGGTAAATAATTTTGTTTCCTTTCCTATGTTTTTACAAAGAAATCCAAAAGGAGTTATTCCGAAAACTAATTCGAAATTCTTTTAAAGTAGACTTCCACTTTGTATAATAAAAAAAGAATATCATTCTTAATTTAAAAATGATATATATAACATATGTATAGGATATTATTTAGTTACTATTTTTGCATATTCAAGGTATATATAAACAATATATTATGTGTTTGCAGAGAGCCATAATTGATGTTTCCAAGAGGATGATCAACGAAGCCATCAAAGAAAAGCTTGACTTAGAGAACACTTACTTTAATGCTACTAAAACAATTAAGATAGTAGATTTTGGTTGTTCTGTTGGACCAAACACATTCTTTGCAGTAGACAACATTATAGAAGCTATAGAATTCAAATATCGAGATCAAAAAATATTAGTTAGCTCGAAGAATCTAGAATTTCAAGTATTTTTCAATGATCATGTTGAGAACGACTTCAACACACTCTTCAAGACTCTTCATTTCCCTCCTAAATATTTTGCTGCCGGTGTGCCTGGTAGTTTTTACCTTCGTTTATTTCCACAGTTTAGCATCCATTTTGCTTACACTTCTTATTCACTCCACTGGTTATCTAAGATTCCAAAAGAAATTATAGATAAAAATTCTATTGCATATAATAAAGGCATCATACAATGTTCTGGCCTCAATAAGGAAGTAGTTAAGGTGTACGCATCTCAATTGAAGAATGACCTAAACATATTCTTAAATGCAAGAGCCCAAGAGCTTGTACCTGGAGGTTTGATGGTAATTCTTACATTAGTTTTGCCAAATGGTGTTCTAATGTCTGAGACTGCAATGGGTATATCTTATGATTTCATTGGATCTTGCTTGATGGACATGGCCAACTTGGTAAGAAACTACAATATATAACTTGTTTATATTTAAGAATATACAGTAGTTTGATTAGACATTGGCATGAAATATGTTAGAGAATTAATGTTGGACTTTATTCTTGTAGGGATTAATTAATGCAGAGAAAGTAGACTCATTCAACTTACCTTTATACTTTCCACATATTACTGAACTGAAGGAGTTGATCGAGAAAAATGGATATTTCAGCATTGAAAGATTCGAGCCTTTGGACAATCCAATGAAAAGTAAGCCGTTCGAATCAAAACATTTTGCTGTTTTGCTAAGATCAACTCTAGAAGGAGTTATAAGGGCGCACTTTGGAGACATTATTGTAGACAAAATTTTTGAATACCTTGCTCAAAAATTTGAAAATGATCCTCTCATCTTTGACGAGGATTCCTTTAAAAATACAGAATTATTTATTTTACTTAAGCGAAATGTTAATTAGCAAATAAAATAAAGCCCAATTTTTGTTTAAAGAAAGGACCAGAAATATGTTCATATTCATAAATAAAAGGAGTATGGGGATTTTGGCCCATCGCAGAGTGGATATCAACCATATTTTTTTTTTCTACTTTCCGTGTAAATATTGGATGTTTATTATTCGAAACTTAATCAATACAAACAACAAAATAATGTTAATATTAACTTAAAAATTAAATTTTAGTAGAGCACTTACTAATATTCATTAAAAGAAGAACATACATAAAAAAAATATCATACTCTAACGTGT